CTCACTGAGAATAGCAGCTTCCTTCTGCATGTTTCGACTGATACCTTACAAAGAAAATTAACTGTGACAGTTCCAGGACTGGCAAAAATCCTGCCCTTTGATCTTGGCATATCAAAATTTTATGTTGATCCATGGTCTCTTCCCGCACAGACTCTATTCCTGGTTGATCACTATTAGACCAAGAGCCACAGAACTTTCATCATCATAAATTCTTCCTGTGGCTTGAGACAGGAAAGACACACTATTCTGGGAGCTCTTAGCAGGCTTCCTTAAGAACATAAAATTTATTCCCAAAACTATTTTGAAATATGATTATGAGTTAAGCAAAGGTGTTTAGCATGTGTGTATGTGCATGCACGTACCAGACTTGGTTACTGAAGAAAGAAAAATTCAGCCCTTTTAATTTATCTTTCCAAATAACATAGTTATAATCATCAAAACATATTTGTACTCTGCTTACAAGGAAGAAATACTTACATTTAGAAGCAAATTCTGTGTCTTAAAATCACTACTTTTCTGTACAAATTAACATTGAGATTCAACTTGGTCAATTGGCACATGCCATTTCTCAGTAGTATTTAGAAGGAAAAATTAAGCACAATATCAGAGGTACTTAAACTATGTAAAATCTATTGGAAAATATAACTAGAAAGAAGCCATTTACCTAATAATGCTTCCTAATTTGAGGACCTGCTCTGGAGCAGTTAGGTGTTATGTATGAAGATCAAAAGACAGCTTATATTGGATTTTGTCCAATTGCCTGAATGTTGCTTGATCTAGCTTTCTGATTTAATAGTGTGCCATAACTTTGTGATAAAAATATTTTTTTAAAGCATTACTAAATCCATTACTAAATCAAAAGTAAACATTTGATTTACCTCCAAATGTCAAAGCACAAACTTCCATAGCTGAATCTCCAAAGATGTTTCCTAAATTATGCTGGAAATGTCTATAATGCTGGTTATTGGCTTATATCCCAATCTATACCCGTTCCATTTCAATAGAATCTACCAAATGTCAGTTTACAGTGTGAGTCTAATTTATCAAACATTATTATTTGTTAACATTCCAATACAACCGACAGAACTATGTTAATAGCCTAAGCATCCATATTGGGAAATAAATATACCCAGGATCAAGCACAAATTCTCACAAGTTTAAAAAAAAAAAAAACACCATGCAAGACTGAACTTTACTGCAGGATGGCTATTAAAAAGGGTATTTTGGAAGGACAATCAATTATTAAAGAAAATGACATGCTACAATTTCATCAACCACAAAAATA